AAAAATATATATATATATATATATATATATATATATATATATATATATATATATATATATATATATATATATATATATATATATATATATATATATATTCAGTTCTTTCATCATAAAATACACATCTTCTGTATATCATTAGCACATGTTTGGTGGGAGGACTCGGCTGAGAAAGAGACAGTTTTATGCAGTGAACTATGACTTTACTGCAAATTTTACTTTGCAGTAGAACTTAAATTACATTTTAATTTCTTTTGGCAGATTAATTTTTACTTAGGGAAGTTGTTTTTCCTAGGAAGAGGGAAATTTACTGAAATTTTATTGACTAAAATATGAAGAAAATGATTTTTTTCCCCCTAGGTACATTTCCAGTATTTTCCCACGTTTGGCAGTGTCAGGAAGTTAGATTTTAATCTTATTCCTATTAATTGCCTAAAAATCATAATTGTTGCAGTTAGTCATACTTTGTGAGTTTTTGATTAGTTATGTCCTGTTTTTTTTTTTTAAGGACAGAAAGATCATTGATGAAAACTTTGACAAAAGTTGCTGGTTGCTGAACCCTGGTTCCAGTCACAATTAAAGCACTTAATCAGCCCATAGCTTTTAACTTGTAAATTGATGATACTAGCGTGTCTCATAAGAACCAGGTGAGGCACCCAAAATATCACCAGCGGTGGCACACCAACCACAATCATGACCTGGGTTAGAAAGACAGCTTGTCATGACAGCAATGATTAAGAGCAAAACTTGAATCACTTTGATTGCTTTTCTATTAAGGTTTTGTAGCAAAAATCAGTCATAAACATCACCACCAGCTTCATATGTGACTCCTGTCACATAACAGTTTGATGGAGAAGGCAAGGTCCACCGTATAAGCTAAGAGTGTGACACTGGAAACCACTGTTTCCATGATGACCACACTGAGATTATGTGGGTTGGATTCCGTCTCACCCATCTGCAGTATCTTGGTCAAACAAATAACTGTGGCCAACATGTAGAGCAGCACCCCGATCAGACTGAAGGCAGCCAAAAATCTGTCAAAAGGCAGGAGGCATCGCCCAGCAAAGTCACCCAGTATCACCACCAGGATGACGAGTGATATGAAGATGCAGGTTCCATATGACACGCAACATATCCAAAATTGCCAAAGTATTCCAGTCGTCATATTGGAGATTATCACCATGAGAGGGATCATCTTCAAACCCCCCCAAAGTTGGATAATCTTAAGGAAACCAGGCAAGCTGCTTATGTAGCCTCTTTGTTCGTGCGCTTGAGTGCGAAGAACACAAGACTCGGCGGCATAGGCCACGAAGGTGAGACCAGAAGCCACTGTAGCAGCCAAAGCACGTGGAGACACAGTTCCATGATCCATGACTATCCAGGGAAAAACCACAGTGGAGCTGAGACTCATCAACACTCCCAACAGTGCCACCGTCATGGTCAGGTTCTTCCAGGATATTGGGATGAGGCTGTGGAACTGGATGATGCTGATAATGTGTATGAGGAGGGTGATCACAAAGAAGAAACACCAGGTAAACATACAGAAGATACTGAATGTGTCCGATGAAGGATCAGATGAGCTGTTTGAGCTTTTATGTTCCAAAGAGGCCACAAGACTGAAGGCTGTGCAGCTAGAGAAGACTTCCAATGTTCGCACCAAAAACAGTGGGCTGGTGAAGTCTCGGGCTTCCAAAACAATCACAGGCATTGTCAGCTTGTTGAGTGTGTGCAATCCAGAGCGTCCACAAGACAGAGCGTTGACTTTGCAAACAATCCCTCAGCTGACTTCCTGGAGATTCCGTTTTTTTGAAAAACAGTGAGGGTCCACAGCTCAGTTCTGTTAGCTTTTAGTTGTGTAATCACCCAAAAATACAGCAAAAAAGAGCTTTAGAATTTTCTTCAGCAGTGTCCATGAAAACAAGCCATTAAAATATAAAAACGCCAAGAATAATTTAAAGCATCAAATTCTTCTCTATTTCTCTCCACCATGTGTCATCTTCTTACTGAAACAATTCAAAAAAGCACCTCTTGGATTATGTTTTGAGGCAGTGGTGCAGTAAAAGATGAACCTCGCCTACTTGCTTACTTCCTTTTTGAGGCTGCAGCAGTGCACTTTCAGTAGGTGCAAATAACCACAAAACAAGGCAATGCAAACATAGCTGTCATCCTCCTACCTTCAGTTCTCATAAAAAGCAGTTCCTTTGTTCTCAAGCAAGAGTAATAACCTTGACACCACACCAATTTATTAGGTAAAATACGATATTACACATGGGATATTTGTTTTAGGACAAGATTTGTTGGGCCCTGTCACTCACTTAAGCGTTGCTTTACAAGATCACTTTCTGGGTGTGTGCTTGCTCAATCCCCCAGAGAGATGAAGATGATTAGGTGCAGAACATCTGTTTTCCCTTTGCAAATTTAGGCATGGAAAAATGTTTGAGCAGTCTAAATGGAAAAAAGTGGGTTTCAGGAGCAGTCTGAAATGTGTTATTTTCTAACGGCATGCAGGCAAGAGGAAGCCTTAGTTTTCTATACTGTGTTGTGACTTACAGTCACTGTTGAAATGAATGAGAAATAAATTAATAAGTACATGAAAAAAGGCATATTATTTTTGGCAAGTTGCTTTATATTGGGTTGTTCCCCCCTTTTGCAACCAAAACAGCCCATGCAGGGGCCTGACTAGGCCTCTTAAGATATGCTTTGCTATCTGGCACTATGATGTTAGTAGAAGATCAGTTAAGTCATGGAGGTTCTGTGGAGCAGAATTGTTTGTCCAGCGCAAACAGATAGACTGGCGTCTGGCTAATTATGATAGCTCAGTCCTGTTGTTGTACTCCTTAAGCCATTCCTGCAATATTTTTGCTTCGAACTTTCTGGTGGCAAAAGCAATATGATGCAAAAGAAAACATGACAAGACAAGCTTATGTTATTCCATTGGTCCATGATCCAGTTCTCATGCATTTGTGTCAACAAATTGCACTGTGTGTAATGACAACTCATAATCAGAACTAGCATAAATGTCTTCAGCAGTCTGAGAAACAATCAATCAAGTTTAATTCTATAGCACATTTCAGCATAAAAAAACATCATAAACATATATAGCTAACACTTGTGAAAACAATAAAAGACATTACATTTTGTGAAGTACAATCGATAAAATCATCAATGTACAACACACAGTAGCTCATCCGTTCGAAAAGCCACACGACTAATCTATGCTGTAAATGTGCATCAATCAAACGTAGTTATTTATAGTCCTGTCAGTTAACTATTGTTCCTCTTCCTCTGAACCACTTTTAGTGGCTCAGTCCTTTGCAGATTGAGAACACTTCACAGTAGTAGCAGCTGCAGAGGTTCTCCAACATGGTCTGCCCTTGAAAAGAAGAACCACATTTGGCTCACTCAAATCCTTAAGCTTATGCATCCCAGCTTCTATCACACATATTTTGAGGACAAAATGTTATCTTATTTCTTAATATTGTATATCCCACCCTCTAAAAGGCAAAGTAGTAGAGACATGGATGCCAGTGGCTAAAATGTTATGCCTGATCAGTGTATAAGATCACAAATGCTCTTCATGAAAGCAATCACTACAATGTTTAGGGATTTCATGTTTATTTTCAGAATTTGTATTTATTTGCATGTTTTTAAAACTCTTTCTCCATTGTGGCCTATCATGTCATCTAAGTGCTGTGTTGCCTTTCCCAGAATAGCACTGAACAAAGAAGGTCTCTGAGTTATAACTGTCATAAATACCAGTATCTAAGTACCAAAGCTGTCATCAGCAATTTATCTCACTAGGTCAACCCTGCTGTGGATATAGCATGATTTGCAACCTTTCAATGGGGCCAAGTTGCTGAATGTGTAGACATTGCAGCATTGAATACAGTATGATTTACTGCACCTTTACTGAATTACTGACAAATAATTCATTGCATGTATGCCTTGAATTCTAGATAAAGGGCCTTATCATTATGTAGTTGAGTCAGACTATATTTAAAAATTAGTAAAGTATGGTTTTTGGATCATTTTTCAAATTAAGCATCAGTATCATAGAGACTGGAAAACAATAAAAACAAAGCATTTTGCAAGTCATTTTTTTTAACGTTTTCATGTAAAAAAAATAGCTTTAAAATATTTGTTCTTTAAACAGCAAAATAAAGACTTGAAATAGTGAGTTATGATAGGAGGCATTCAATCTTGTTTCTTCTCATTTTCACTTGAGATTAGATCTCTTTGTTTTGTCAATTTAAGTCACAGGAGGATGCACCAGAATAGTCATGTAATTGTCCACGTGGTGCTTGGTGGTTTTAAATATAAGGTTGATTTTTGAATATCAGCAATACTTACTGGGAAGTTGCTAATGTGAACAATTCTTTCTGACAATAACTTTAGTTCAGATTAGAGCACTTTTCAATCAAATAACCTGGCCAAGATTTTATCAAAGAGATGAAAAATGTGCTTTCAAGTAGGATGCATTTGCAAGCTTGCAGCGGTGACGGAAAGCGCAGTTCGACTGTCTGGGACAGGAAATGTCAGACGCTTCATTTTATGTTTTTGTTCATCCACCTCCTTCTGATTCTGCTAAACTTTCATTCAAAATTTGATTTTGATGCTCAAAAATCTAATTCTAAAGGAATTAAGTGACTATTTGTTTTCTTTTCTTTTTTTTTTTTGCTTTTTGGTTAACTCAACTACTATTTCTAGTAGTTGAGATAGATACCTCAAACATAGAGTTTCAATGTTCATCCAAGCATGTATGGGTTTATCCAGTGTGCTAAGGCTTTCTGCTGCACCAAAAC